TCCCCTCCCCCCCCAAAAAAAGAGTTCGTGCAAACTGCATACGCTAGGGAGGGGCTGAGTAATTACTTACGCATGCATGCACACTCCATCCGTACTCTACCTGCGGGTCGGGCCACTCTAGAACATCCACGTAAGGGGATAATTCTTGGCACGTGAAAAGTTTAATCCTGTTTGCCCCTTTAATTGTTCAGATGCTCGATGGTGATTAAGCCTTGTGAATGGAGGGGCTTACGCCATATGCAAACGCATATACTTATTCTCCTCTGCATGCGTATGCACAATGAGGTATAAATAAATGAAAGGTACGAAACATTTACACGAGGTGGCCAAGGACAAGGGCGAGTTCTGAAAATAGGTTACATTCAGCCTTGGGAAAATTTCGTGTCTGCGGTTTGTAGATGGATTGCATGGGAGGGACTTCATTTGTTGATATTTGTTATAACGACATTCAATCTACCTACCATCATACCATCAAATATCATCCATCCATTACCTCTGTAGAGCTACAAACTGGATCGGTAAACATCAAAATATGAGATGAATTTCCTATTCACAAAACCAAATCAGCACCACCTCCATCCAATCCCATCCCTACAAGGATCAACAAAAATTGCAAACAATAGCTCGTTTCATCTCGTATTTCCCTGTTAGAGAATTTTACCATCCCATGAACAACGACCCCAAAACGGTATCGGATCTCCACTTCCAACGGGACCTAATGAAACATTTCTTCTCAAGAGAGTGATAGATCGGCAGATGGGAGTTTGTGAAGTTCTGGAAGACGGGGAGGGAGGAGGAGAGAAGGATTTGCCGACTCTAACGATGTAGAACCGAGGATGAAGGGTTTGGTAGGAATTGTGCTGCATGAGAACATAAAAGGTAGAGTACAATGTATCGAGAGGCACATGAGGCATAGGATCTAACATGTGTTGCACATGATCCAAAAGCTGAAGATCTTCAGGGTGGGAATCTGCTTATTCTATCTCACATGTTGTGCGTGTTTGCCCCCACTCCTCGAGTATGTATATTTTTCACCAAAGGATTCTACGCCGTGACCGTGGCGAATTGCTTCCTCTTCATTCAATTCCTACCATAATCCATGAGTAAGTACTAGGTCGGTATTAGGCTCGAGACAGGATAATAATAATGCGTGACTCTCAATTCACATCCATTTGCTGATCTTCCTTCCAAACCCGATCGCCAACATCCCGTGCTGACGACTTGGCCCTCGGTCAGTTTGAATCTTGAGATATGGAACTTTCCATCTCTCCCAATCAATAATTCTCTTTCCCGGCCGGTTCACGCGATGATCAATGACCAATGAGCATGAACCTGGTACCGACCCCCTAAATACCTCCTCATGAATCGAGACCGTCTTCAATGTATACACACATACCTAGGACCATACCATCTAAGTATCAAAAGAGTCCAGAAGCCTCCATCTTCCACTGCTACTTCCAATCCTCTCTCTCACATCCACATTTCATCCATCTCATCCAGAATCCATTCTTTCATCGCGGGGTCTCCGCTCCCAATTGGGTTTCTCCGGACTCTTTTGTGTTCAGTTTGGTCCAGTTTAGTTCAGTTCAGTCCAGGTAGGATTTTGATTCTGATGGAAACAAATATACTTTGGAATGATGAAGGTTGGTGCGTTGAGACATAGTATATACGTACAGTTTCATACACTGTATATACAAATTGTTTTGCGATGAATGAACGAGTGAAGTGGATATCCCATACCATAATTACCATACCATCATACCTAGTCATAAACACTACCCAGACAACATCTCAGACACATAATTTCGCGACCTTGAAGGTACACTCTACGTACCGAGATTCATCGAGATTAATCTTACAGTCTTCACAAGTTCCTCGGTGGACAACCTAGATAGGTCTTTAATAAACTTTTGATGTGTTTTCTTATTTTCTTATTTTCTTATTTGGAGAGAGGAGAGAGAGGAGATATTGGGGCATTACTTCGGGCATAGAATTTCTAATGAACGGATAGATACACTCGTGTACCTACCTAGGTAAGAAATGCTTCCCTATCGATTTCTCTCAACTGTATGCACTGTGCGGTGTACAGCATACAAGCTCCAAAACTCAAAGATAACAATACGTGATCTCCCCATCGGGAAATCAAATCAAATCTCACTTCTTACCTACTAGGTACGTAAATTTTCCATTTCCATTCTCATCCGCCGCATTTAGGACACTCGCGTGACCTGTGCCGTGAGATTACTTATACGATGGATGGATTGCCCATTCATCCACTCATCAATTCATCATATGCTTTTTCTTAATCTTCAAATGATTATCTCGTCGACTATCTCTATTTCTTGAGTGTAAAAATTGTAAACTTCCTCCTCGTGCATGCGTGCAGCTGGAAAACATGCTGAAATCCTGATATGCAACCCCAATGCTAGATGGATAGAAATGCATACCGATACAGACCACGAGATGATAAATCACAGAGCACAAAACTGCTTTTTTTCTCTTGCAGCCGTGCAACTGTATATTCTCACACAGCTCGAGCACAAGCACGAGTTCAAACGAGTATTATATGATATGTTATAGTACCCCCTTTCCATCCCGCTCGCATATAATATCTCTCATCCCAATACAGCATTATGGATATTTATTCCCCATGCATGTATATATAACCTACTAGGTACATAAGCGTCTGAATATACGCTCAAACCCCCACAGCCCGAAAATCTAAAAGACTAAAAGACTAAAAGATCATTGAAATATCTAGTACATGATGACTATCAGATGCAAGGGATACCGAACCGGTAGGTGCCGGGTAAGATGTAAGTTGTAAAATGTAAAATACAAAATATAAAATATAAGATACAAAACATACAACAAACTTAACAGACTAAACGAATCAAAAGAGCCGCAAGAGAAGTGCAAGAAAAGTACAATACAGAATACGGATACCAAAAGTATCCACGTGACTATGCTATGCCAGGAACCCGTGACAGGAACTTCCTAGTTACACAATCCATTCCTTCTCAAGCACGCCCACAACGCAACCCAATCGTGCAAGAGAAATACAGGGAAATCGCATACACCTCTCGAGTACCATCTCTGCATATCCCATTCCTCCCCACCTGTAAAAGGCTGAGTCCCCGTCCGACATCCCCGCGTTTTTACCGACTATATGTGGAGAAGAAAATAATCACTCTAGGATGTGTGGATAGGCTAGTTGCCACTCCACGTGGCGGATTCGCAATCTTGGGGCTAGTGTAGCGTAGCGTGGATGGATGGATGGATGGATGGATAGATGGATTTGTTGTTACTAATGTTGGGTACTGGAGAATGGAGAATGGAGAATGGAAGAGTGATTGTGCTATTGGATGGTAGTGTGACTTGGTTTGGTTTGGCTGGGGTTGTTAAGAATTGTTGGAGGGGATGCATTTGGGTGGGTATTTTGATTACGTGTGATGTGATGTGCTGTGCTGTGCTGTGCTGTGGTAGAAGGTTGGTTACGTAGGTACTTAATGTGATGACGTCTTGTGATAGATGTGAGTTGGGGTTTGAGGGCTTGCGGGTCGGAGAGTTTGATAGGCTTGATTGATTGTTTGTTTGTCTGTTGGTGGAGGTCAAGTGTAGAAGTCAAGTGTGATCGTAGTGAAGTAAATTTCAGATGGTAGGTACATATCAAAAGAAGTGAAGATGGAGAGGATGATGTAAGTTATTATTGATATCTTTCCTGGCTTTCTGAAAGAAGAGAAGTTAAGAGAAGAGAGGCAATACTTGGACTTGCTGAAATCCGAGGGGTGTAGGGATAGATGGCATTGCTATCTACGTACACGAAGGTGAAAATATGGATGGGAGTCTGAGGATGATGCCACCATTCTGTAGGAGGTGAAGAGGGTTCATTTTCCGGGCTGGTGAGTAATTTTTTTGAGTTTATTCACTGATAGGTACACAATCTCCTGGTCATATCTTTACAGTGATCTCCGGAGAGCAGTTTGCTGTGGAGCATTTAGGAGTTGCGGAATCTGAGTGGAGATATGTGACATGGTTGGGTTGATGTTTGAGAATTGAGAGAATGAGGGAATGAGAAGTTCGTCATAGTATTGTCACTTTGGCAAATTGCTCGTGGGATTTACATGGAGGTGTTGGAGTTGTTGAAGGTGCTGGAGCTGTGGAAAAGTGAGAGAGTGGTAGATATAGTAAATGGTAGAGTTAAGGCCTTTGAAGTTCTGCTGGATCATTCTGGAGTTTGTAACATGGGAAGTGAAGAGGGAGGAGTGGTGTCGCAAAGATGAGTGATGTGGTAGAAGAGCGGAATTCGAATTTGTTGCTGCAGTGTCATGTAGGATTAAAGATAGAATGATGAGAATGTGAGGTGTTTGTGATGTGGCTCATTGTGAATGGGCAGAGTCTACGTTGAGTATCAGGTAGTAGCTACATGATAGGATGTTTAGAGAATATTGAAAGAGTTGGAGGTGATGAAAAAACGAAGGTAGAAAGGAGATGGTGGATGGTGTTTCCTGAAGTGAGAAATCAAACGGAACATACTGGGAGAAGAGACGATGGGATGGTGAGTATTAATGGTTAGATTGCTACGGAATGGTGTGAGGAGTGACAAAAGACTGAGAGAGGCAATGCAGACAACAGAGAAAAGATAGTGGTGGGATATGAGAGTTACTTTAAGGTATCCAGTGGTGAGTTTAATTGTTTTTGAGTAAGCTGGTTGTTTTGATTCTTTGGCACCTGCATTAGTGTGCACATAAAACTATTTCAAGGCTCCTTTTCACTGTGGAACATCAATTGAGACATGTATTTTATTGTATGGTGTTTGGTAACAGCTTCTTCTGCAAAGGACTGAAAAGCAACCCTACGTTCGTTTCTTGTTGGTTATGAAACGATATATCTACACCCTGCCTTCAAAAAAACTCCATCCAGTCCTTAGTTCTTGTAAAAAGCAATCAAAGGTGTGTTGCTCGGAACAATGATCTTCGACCCAGAAGCATTCGGTGAGTCTACGCATCATGAGGCCTAGATGCGGCAACTTGGAGAAGCCAATCGGGTAGAGACCTAGAGGCGGCAACTTGAAGAAGCCAATCAGGTGGAGACCAGAACCGCAATCGAACCCGAGTTGTTCTATCACGACTCGGGTAATTTTCATCGCGGCGGAAATATTGGGTTAGAAAAGCTTGGATATCGAACGAGGGATCGGGATGCGTGTTGGTACTCAGCATGAGCACTGTTTCAAGGTTCTCAAACATCGCTAGAGCATCTCGACATCCGTCCAGATCATATGAATCTTGATTGGATATAAATGATCCTGCGAACTCAATCTCGACGTTGCGGATGCTCCTCATCACTTTGACGGCAAGTGGGTCGTATGAAGGGAAAAGTCTCTCGAGGGAGAGACTTATCTTGTCAAACGCGTATTGAGGTTTATTTCCATAGAAGATGGGGGTATCTATCTTCGGGTTGAAATAGATCGTACAGGGATACCGAAGGTTCGTGCCGTGTTCGGGTGAATGAAGGTCCTGGTAAAGTCGAACGTAATGTCGGAGTGTTTCGGCGCGACTTTCTCTGTTGACAAAGGCGACCGGAACTTTGCTGATAGGGGGGATCTTTAATTGCTTACACACAAGTTGATCTCTGCCAAGTTGTTCGAATGGATAGTTAAATGGAAGGGGCTGGTTGAGTGGTGTTGGTCGTACGTAACCACATCGAAGCTCGACTTTTCTCGATTCGAAACTTGAGCGCCAAATATTACGTTGAACTTCGAGTGGTAACTTGGGGAAGAGTGTAAACTCTGTGAGTTCAGGCGGACCAGTCGTTTGGGTTCCTTGGTCAACACCTTGAGGCTTCTTCACAGCTTGGGGCTTCACAGCTTGGGGCTTCACAGCTTGAGACTTCTTGGCTCGAGGTTCCTTGGTTCGAGGCTCCTTTCTTTGTGTTTTCTTTGGTGGAGAGTTCTTGGCTCCGCTGCCGGATGATGGCTTTGGAGTCCTTTGAGAAGAGATCAATTAGTTATTATTCGAATCGTTGGGAAGTGTTCCTTACATGTTGTTACTATGATCCATAGCTGTTGAATGTGTTTGTTGATTGAATTTCTGTTCGAAAATGTTGTGCAGAAGGGCAAGGTTCATACAATGATGTAGTTGATTGTATTTCTCGAGAATGTGTTGTTCGAAAATGCTGTGCGAATTGAAAGGTTTATATGGTAAAATATTGATCTCGGCTAAACGGCAGCTGTATCAAAACATGGCCCTAGTATAATTCACCATACCATATTACCATTAATAAATGAAGCTGAACTCATGACATGACATGGCTTTCAGAGAGATTGGTAGCTGTATCAACACAATTGCTCTAATACAATTCACCATATCATATGGCCAGTAATAAATAAAGCTGAACTAACACGGCTTCCAAAGAGATTAGCTAAGCTACCTAGGTATTTGAAGATACTTGTCATTTGCAGGTCTATTTCCTAAATTCACAAAATCTATTGATCCACAACTATAGCATTGTCTTATAAATTCACTCTTCTCGAAAGGTACTTTTCCAATTTTACAAGACTTTATGGAATTATGGAATTTGGGATTTCAATCTCACTCTATAGATCAAAAATGAGGCAAGAAAGGTTACTGATTGTTTGATTGTTTGCTGCTTGATTTTGCCAATGATAGAAAACAAAAGAACAGTTTGTAAAGCTCGGTCACCTGAACCAAACTATCAAGCTACAGAACGCTTTATGACAAACCGTCATCATCCTGTAAATTTCAATCTCATTCAAATTTCTGATTGAATGAAATAGACCTCATGCTTTCCTCTTGTTGCCACTCTACCCAATTCTCCTTTCATTCTCTCGAAAAGTACACCATCATCGTCTTCCTTTTCCCACACAAATTCCAGTTTTGCCTTTCCAGTCCACCTCCTCTCAATAAACCAGTTAGAATATTCTTTTTTAGATAGATCATTGGTATTGACTGTCTCATCCGGGTGCAGAATCAACTTAATACGTCGAAGACTCTTGAAGCAGCCAAGCATACTCATCTTGTACGAACAGTCAAGTCTGTGCTCCTTTAATGTTACGTGGTACATTTTGACCTCGCGAATACTCTCGATACATCTCGCAGTTTATTAGTCGTATAGTGGAAATATAGCGTGGATATTGGAAGATTCAGTAAGAAAATTTGAGTAGATGAGGGTGAGATAGTCGAATTTCGGGTTGAAGTGTATTACATGTGGTAATAGCAAATCTGTTTCCCCACTGTAATAGTCATCAATAATTACGCCTCTGCTTGAGTGTCACTAGAGGATGTTGTTGCTTGACTTCTGTGATGTGCTTGGTAAAGTACATGATAATGCTTCAAAGTTTCAGCTCGGCTCTCTCGGTTTGCAAATGCCATGGGAGGGTTATCACAGGCACGAAATGAGATTGGAGATCTGGTCTGGACATGCGGCGATTGGGGTTTTATGAAAGTGAGATGCTATCGTGGAAAGGAGTGGCGCCAAATTCTGATTCGAAGTTCCATAGGTAAATAAGAAAAACGTAAGAAGGTTGTTGCCGGAACAGCTCTGGTGCTTGTAAACTCTGTAGATTTTTGAGACCGCTGTCTGCGATGCTTGGCAATTCTGAACTCAATTTTGTGATTGTATCAGTACCGGTTCTCGAGTCATCGAAGGATCTGGATTGGGAAAAAGAATTAGTGGCCGCCAATATAAACATTTGTATAAGAATGATCCTCACGTGGCTGTGACTAACAGTTGCTCATTCTCTGATGTAATTGATGAGACTTTAAGCTTTGAGGCTACAAAAGCCTTTTCTTGTTCCCTAGGCTGCAGGTCAGAGATTATCTAATGGACTTTTGAAGAATGAAGGATAAGTTGATCCTACATGGTGGATGTCTGGTTTGACTTGATCTGACTTGACACTGGATTGTATTTGAAATCCCTGCCAGTCGCAGGATGAACATTTGGAAGCGATGTGGATAGGGAGATGATCCAAGTAACGCTCTACTGAGGGTCGGTTACCCGAATGTAATTGTTGGTATCAACTTGGTTGATAAGTGACGAGTACTTCAGTCTGTTATGGTTGTAATCTTTTTTAATCAATATTATCTCAATATTATCTATGGGAAGCTAGTACTGATATAAGAAGGCGATAGCGCCTCGCTAGCTAATAGTGACCTCTTTATGATCACATGATCGATATCCCCACAGTACGCAATGAGTCTTTATCAGTGAATTATATCAAAAAGCTAGATATAGGTAATTGTCGGGTAGTAAGCATAGCTCCCGACGCATGGAACCTCCGGGAGTTAAAACTTTACATGGAATCAACCTGATAATCAAAGTCAATCCGTAGAACGTGTCACTAGAGTTGCAACAATGAAGGCAAAAGAGAACTCAGCTGAAGAGTCACCACCAGACGCTTAACTTCTACACAATTAAATGACCAATACTTTTACCAAGAACAAGGATCTGAAGCTTCCAAAGAAACCGAGTTCGCCAATATGAAGCTACTCATGGACCTTCATCTCAGGACTCAATCAAGTGTCAACAAAATGGGACAATGAAGAAATATTTAATTGAGGATGCGCCACCACAATATAATGCTTAGGATCAGGAAATTACTGGAGGGATTGAAGAAAACAGTGCTAGCTTGCAACTCTAGGGAGAGATTCTATATTTTGAATTGGAATTGCCCAAAAGTTCAGGAAGATCAAATGAAAGTGTCAACAAGTTTGCTTGCTTTGGATGGTTTCCCATAGTGGATCGGCTAATTTGGCATGCTTGTTTTCCCAAAGGAAGACCAGTACATTTACAAAGAGATGGCTTGTTCTTTGAACAGAGAAGAGATCGATTCTTCTCTCGTGCTAAAGCCTAAAGCGATATACGTAATGTCACGGAACGATTGTAACCATTTTATCATAGCCTTTATCAATCAAGAGTCTCGCTTGGTAGCGGGAAAATGCTACGGACTGCTCATGCAACAAGCGAATCATGGTTTCAATTACGTGCAGATAAGTGAGGAGGAAGAGCTATCAGATCATCGACGATATAATCTCCGTCCAGCAACAAAGACGATCCGAAGCCCATTTGGGTCTCCTTACGTGATTAAAGAGATATTGATCAACTCATTCTTCTTCAATGTGTTGATAGAACATCTGAGAAATATTTCATGGAATCGCCCCAGCGAGTTCGGTTGATCCAGAAACTGACCCCGCTGCCATGGATGTCGATGCTCCTTTCTATGCCAATAGTAGTTCATGCTACCTGGCAGATTTGTTTCGTAATAACCCACGTCTAGCAGTCAGTATGAGTTCCGAATATCAGAGACATATGAGAAACGCTTCATCTCGTCGAATATGTAGGGAGATATGGAAGGGATATCCTCCAACTCTTCCAAGGACTGGTCGAGTTAAGGTTTATTTGGCGTTATATGCTTGTAGATTAATGGTTCAGATCTGCCAAACTGTGAGAGAGTGGTGCCACACGTTAAGGCCAAAATAGAGAAGATCATTACAAACTTGCATGGCAGATTTCCAGTCTTTGGAACTCCAGGAATCTCGGTATTTTATGCCAAGATATTGGTTTTAGCAGCATAATCGGGATCGGCAACTAAGAACGGTTGAGACAGATGATGCAAAGTCAGAGGGGCATGTGGAAACAATTTCCCGGAAAACTATTCATTAAACTGAAAACAGTCAGCATCTTTCCCATGAAAGTAAATAAAATACCTTGTGAGTGGAAGATAAGGGCTATTAGAAAAAGCATATGCAAATTTCACACCATGGATCACATATACAAAAGCACAAGATAATGAAAGTTCAAGGTTCTCAAACATCGCAACTATCATGAGCTATGCATATATACAGATACAGTCTGAACACCACTCCTAAGCCCGTCATCCCATGGTAACGTAGTTGTCTTGGGCACTACTCTATGTGATTGTACTTTTGGCAGCCGAGAAAATTCAAATAACGCGGGATAAACTACAATCCCTAGCAAAGATTACTCTTTCGGTTAATATTAGTTTGATATGAAGACGCCAGGAACTGAGAGACCTGACGAGGTCTTTGATGACTCTCTATCCCAAGAACTCGGCACGTCATGGCCAATTAAATTGTTCTTCAAGATGCAAGTCCAAAGGTTCACGATCTACCTAGGTAGCGAGTTAACTGGTATAAAGCAAAATGCATAAATTCCCTAGAACGAGAGGCTGTATAGTTGTTTGAGATAGATATCAGCAGGAATTAAGCATGATTTGTTCATAGACCAAGATTGACGGTCAAGAAGGAGTAGATTTAAGCCATGAACGCCGGGATTTGGTATGCCAATTTTGCAAAATAAACAAGGTGGAAAAGAAGTAATTAGCAAGTCTATTCTGCTCTGAGCCCAAAGACAAATTAGATATTGAATTCTTGAAGAGTAGAGAGGATTTATATGATATGTGTCGTTGGAACTAGGTTCTGCCCTTGCTTACCGCCGAAGCTTCTTTCGTGACCAATTCGAGATCTCTCCACACCTACTAATCGACACAAAAAGAACATCAACACGGACAACAAGTGTAAACTGCACTTTTCGCATACAAATCACCGGGAGTTTTAGACTATTTTGGTTGCCAGGAGACGCTCGCACGACGCTTTTACCTCTGCATCGCTATAAGTCAGGACAAAGGCGTTGCACATATGTTTGCCTGTACATGTCTGAAAGCTGGGAAGTCTTCAGCATTCAAATGGCAATTTGATTCGCATAGCGGGTCGATAATTCATCATTACCTTTCAATCATTTAATCACAACCTTCGAGGAATTTCGATGCTGACAACTAAGATTTTCTTTCGAAACGGCATTTGAGGTAGGGGAAAGTGATTTGAATTTCCTAACAAGCAGAAAAGATGAGAATGCCCACAGCCTATCCGCTATTGATAACACGGCAAAATCGCATTGACAAAATGCTTTGATTTTTTCCTCACTTGCAAACGCTATAGTCTGCTGCCACGAAAGCGCACTTTCCAGAACAACATGTGCCTTGAGGACCGGCGATGCTTACACAAGTAGCACCCTTCGCCAAACACTAAATTGGAAGGGAATGTCAATATAACCCTTATCAAACTACGTATCACATCTCAAGACACGGTGTAAACGACACGAACCTTTTTCTTTCGAATGCAGTGTGCATCATCTGCCACTCCTGGTTCGTTTTCACATAGTAACCCATCGCAGCATGTACCAACAGGACCGGCGAATCCAGAGCAGAAAGTACCCTCAGTGAGACATTGCTATGGTTCAAAGATCAGACTTGATGATTCAATATCTCGGGGTAAGGGTGGAGGAGGAGGAAATACTGTGCATGCTTTGTCTTGAGGAACAGCCACGGCGACAGTCGACGCTACAAGGAGCGCGAGGATACTGAGGGATTGACTGAGCTTCATTTATGACAAATTTTCGGAAGTTTTATTATTAGGAATGAGAGAAGTTACTGATGAGGAAACGAATGAAATTAGAGGAGATCAATACCATTTATCTCCTCAGAAGATGTCTCTTAACGCCATCATAGGTGTATCGATCTCATCAGCTGTTGATCAGCTGACTCAAGCTGAACGTCTGCCAAGCGACTGCCAAGAAGGTTTACGAGAGCCCCTTACTTGCCCGAATTATGTCGGCATGACGATCATCCTTTAGCAGATTGTATGCATGGCCGTTTCAAGTCTGTATGTGGTGCATCATTTTGCCCCGCAGTATATCAGCATATCGCAAGCAAATCTGGTTACCTAGCGAATCTACAACAGGTATATAATCCAGCAGGAAGAAATACATAATCTCAGTGACGACTGGCGGTGAGCCACAGGACATGTTAATTTCAACAGTGTAGTTTCTCGCACAGTAATAAAATTTGGACGTATCTGCTGTGTGAAGGCTTTAGCTATCCGTGACTTTAAGTTGATTCAATCTGATAATCGAGACCAGCATATAAGTGTGTAGACAGGAAGGCTTTCATTTTCCATTGGCATTGTTCATTGTAGCTGGGAAACTATACTGCCTTAGACACATGTCTCAGAAGATCACAGCTTTCTTATCTCATTAGTCCATAGTTTCGAAACTATTCACCTTGTTTCCAAGCCATTTCCTCGCGGAAAATGCACCCCGAGTATTGCTCACAACCCGAGCCAGTTCAGAAAGGGGTCCGAATGGACCATTTTTATTTGTCGGACTTCATTTCATTAGTTTAGTAGCATACTTTTGGATTGGTGTTATTAACTTACCACAATGCTGGGCAAGGTCACATCCATATCTATACCTGGCTGGTATCATATCATATGACATGAGCTCTTGCGCCTGAACATTCCAGCCTTTTGAAAGATACATAAGGATCTTATCCTATGCAATACCATTTAAGCTCACCGTTGTATCTGCTTGGCCATGTTCTGGAAGTCCTAGCATGCCCCGTGCCACCATTCGGTTTGTGGACGCTTCGATTATTTTACGAGCTTGAATATTTGGCGTATTAAGACTCGGAAGACACCAAGTTCTCGGGTATTCACAATTAACTTCTTCAGATAGCGACCCCTTAAGAGTATTTCATTGGTATCGTTTGTAGCTAGCATACATAGCTCAACATAGTCGTTGAGATCCTCGATCGAGGCATGTTTCTATTCAAACATAGCCCATGACGTCGGGGAGTCTTTTTGGTCTAACTGCGCAATGATGTTCGAAGGTCAGGGTCTAGCAAACTTTTTTTCATCATGTACATAATTCCCTCATTCCGATGAGAGCAGTATTACAATGACATAATCTTAATCATGTTGGATGTGTCACCGCAACTCGAGATCCATGCACATCGCACCAATCAACAAACCATCATGGTCGAATGACCTTGCATCAATTTGGCTGAGTCAGTTTTTCTTCAGAATTGTCACTCCATAGTTATATAATCATATTCTGATCTTTAGTTCTTGAAAAATCCTTAGGCCGTCGCTAGATTTGTTGGTTGGTTCTTACCGCGCGGTATTGTTCATGGTGTACCTGTTGGTCACTAGGAATTGAGGATGCCTTGGACTCCGAACCAATAACATGATGAATGACAAAGTACGTTTAATTAACCTGATTGCCCAATTGAAGAACATGTGGTCTTTGTTGCGGGAAGTCCTTGGTGTTGCACAAGAAGGTATATCTTGAGATGATTCTGCCAAAACCGCAGATACCTTTCATAATACTAGGCTTGGTTTTTCCGGTATTGACATTATATATGATGGAAGTTTGAAATAATGCCTGGGTTTGTGGTGTTAGTTATGCTCTGCAGACTGAAGGCATCATAAAAAGCCGCGTTGAAGGTCAAGTTCAGATCCTAACGAGCGTCGACGGCCAGAAATGGATTTGAATAGGTCTCTACCCGTTCGGTCAATCTTTCCGATGTCTCGTGAGCTATGAAGCGGATTCCAACCAAGATTCGACCTCTACTGCCCATGACCACTTGCCGAGTAAAGCGAGTGACAAAGTGGTTTATATTTAGTACCATGCCTAACTGCGATATTTGAAACAATAGCACTCGTGCTATACATACAGAGAGATCATACTTCTTTGTACCGTGTAATCAATGCTACCCTATGCCAGGGATTTTTGGAAAAAGCAAGGACGAGGCGGCAAAAGGCCCAGCTGCATCTAGTAGTTATAGGCCACAGCAGGAACGAAGACATTCGGATCATGTCAAAAGCGGATCATCCCTTCGTCCTGGTATATTCGCATCAAAAACATGGCATACTCCTACAACTGGTGAACCCAGTCCGAACCTTTCCAAATCAAAAAAGCATCATGGACGTGTGAGATCGTTCTTCAGCAATTCAGACAGCTCCGATGATGAAGATGATGATGGCTATGAATTCAAGTGTAGAGGTGTCGACGCGGAAATTCTTGTGACAGACAAGGGTTCTTCAAGCAGAGAAAATGCTTCTCTTCAACCAGCCCAACATAGAGTTTCGTCTCGTAGTCGATCCATGGCTAAATCAAAAATGCCAAGCAGTCGTTCTAGTTCGCAAGATTCGCCGACCCCACGAAAAACATTTGCACCTCCGACCATTCCGAAATCACCATATCCAAAATTATCAGCAACTTCACATACTAATCCACGCTCGATTGAAGAAGTGCACCGTCCAAGAGATCGAAATGAAGACTCTGGTGCCGCATCTAATCAGGGAAAATCTCGCGGTGGAAGAGATGGCAGGAATTCGAGCAGAAATCGTGAGAGAGATGCGAAAGGTATGTTTCCGTGTTTCATCACTTGTTTTGCAAGAGTAATAAGTTAACATCACATTAGTCCAATCCCCGGATGATGACATCATCTCTTCTAGTAGAGATCATAATGATGAAAAGAGGAAGCACTCCCGTCCTAAAAATGATTATAATAATGGATCAGACTACAAATCCTCCTCCAATGAACATAAGCTACCTTCTGGGAGAAGGGAAAATCCCAGATATCCGGCCTCAAAGGCTGTTGGGAATGGAGATAAGAACAGACATGTGCGTAAACCTCATTTTTATCAGGTTCATGACTACAGCAAAGATGATCATTCTTCTCTCAATCGTCAGCATCGTGGGAATGAGCGAGGGAATCTTGTATCACGATTGAAGGTCTAGAAGTCTCGATGTGTTTTTCCTACCTGCACTCTTTTCCCTTCGTTTTCAGCCGATGTTTTACTATTCTTTGTCACTTCTCTTGGGTTTTTTTTTTCTATTAGTTAGCTCGTTTTTGTGTATATCATCAAAACTATATTTTTTCTATACTCATGAAATATGAAGTGTCTGCTTCTTTTCGCTTTGAATTCATTTTTGATTGACTATCCTACGATTTACACGAGCAATAAACCATTCTAAACATCAATATCAACTTGCGTCATGAATACCGTTAAATCTTGATTTTTTGTTGTATTATAAAATAAGAACCAACCGTTGATCCTTCAAGAGGCTGTAGCAAGGCAAATTCACAACCGCTAACCGCCAACCTCCGCGCCACTCAAAGCGCACACCACTCCAGGTCAAAGTTTCAACTAACCGTCATGAATCCTGTTTTACTGCCACAGTGAGTTTTTTCTCACGCAAGTTACAGAAGAAAAATGCCATGCAAGTGTTGGTAAGATTTTATAATGTAGCATCGCGGTACTATCCATAGTGGAGAATCATTATTCTGAAAGTAACCTTAATACTAACCTTCTACTCCACAAACACCCTATTTCATTCCATTTAATCTCATCTTCGCATAGTATGCCCTTCATCACAAACAAACCTCTCGTCTCCTCAACCCTTCACCAAACCCGCACACGCAGTAACACCGACCCCAAGCCCCCTAAAACATCACATTCCAATTCCACATCCATAGACTCGGGATATGCAAGTGGGTGGGGAACCATCCATTTCTGTTCCAAGGGACCATTCAATTCTAGACGAACCTCTATATTCAATGACGAACATCTAACTTGTGAGGGTCATCCTGTCATTTTCGAGTATGGGGAAGATATCAAAGTGTTTTATATCGGGGAGGCGAAAATCGCGAATTTGAGGGAGACAATGGGGAAGAGTCGGGAGGTTTTTATTGGGAAGGCGGCGCGGAAAAGTAAATCGGGGAATAAGTATAAGAATGCAAATAGCGCGAGTCGTCGAGACAGCCAAAATTCAGGAAGGCTTTTCCAAAAACCGAAACCGATTCGAAGAGGAAGGATGGTGAAAGATGAGAAGGGTCATGTGAGAGCGGTGTATGAAGATGAGGAACCAATTGATTTGGGGAGGAGGATTGCCAGGGAATCGATTAGGGATATCTCGACTCGTAAGTGTATGATGTGTTCTTTGCAGGGTGGTTAACTAACGTGGGTTTAGTTCTCAAAGTGCCGTTGATGCCTGTTAAAAATGCGATGGATGGAGAAGGTGAACATAGTGTTAGGGCACTGTGGAGTTGGGGATTTGGAAATTGATGGGATTTTTTGGGATTCGATACTTTCACTTCAAATAAGGCGTCACGGAAAAGAGCAAAATTGGTGTTCGAAGACTTGAGGCTTACTGGGAATTTCTAGAGGATCTGGTTATTCTAGTATGCTTTTTGTATCTTGATTTAGCGAATATATGACATTGACCTAAATTTTGATGTGGATGGTTCTGTGAGGCTACATGTGCAATTTGTCGTTGATAACTGAGAGAAAGTGGCGCTTGCGTGAACTCCGTATTGATTTCAATGAAATTCAAAGCGGAAAAACGGAAGTTATGTGAATCAAGGAGGTTCACTACTAAAAATGCATCAAAATTCATCTCTCACGGAGCTGATAAGAACAGATAGTGTAGTTGTAGATCGTTGCGTATATATTTTTCTAAACCAGCGCCATCTTGAAATCTATTTTACAAGTCATTAATCTATGATAACGTTCGCCCGCTTTTGTAAGGCTCATATCCATGCTATTCTATAATTCGTGCTACTCGTCCGCTTTTCCCATATCTATCCCATAGTATCCTCTCCTAAATCAAGCAAACTTCTTAACATGCATCCCAGTTTTGCTCAACCTAGCTGCAATAAAAAAAGCCACTGTTGCAATAAGCAATGCCCCACAAAATGCTATGGTAGGAACGTATCCGGAATTCGAGAGTATCTGTCCAGCAACTGGTGTACCAACCAAAAGACCTAATCCACCAATTGCAAACGCCATACCCATTCTCGTGCCTACGACGCCCATGTGAGGGCTAAGCGATACGATGACGGTGGGTGGAATTGATACGAAACATCCTGTGGAAAATCCGTAGAGAAGGGCAAATACGACCAGACCGCCAACAGAATGAACGCCAGTCCAGCCGAATGCTACAACACTTGCGATGAGTGTTCCTGGTATAATGATATTTAAGGGTCCGAATTTATCGGCAAAGTAGTTGGGGATGATACGACCGAAGATAGATGCCGCATTAATGGTACTCAACATATAGAATGCCGAGTTTGAATTCATAATTTTTTCATCCATGGCGTAGGATGAGATGTAGTAAAAGGGAACATTGAGACCCATGAACCCGAAAAAGAGGCCGATGGTAAAGAGCAAGTATGGTGGTTCCTTGAATGCGGCCAGATCTACGAGCTTTCGCTTTTGCGATGGCTTCACACGCATCTTCATTATGCTGATGGAGATGGAAAGGGTAGCGAGGAAAATAAATCCGAGGGCTCTTGTTGTCCAACCAAAGCCGATTTTAGGTTGAAGATTATGGAAAATGATTGGGTAAAGAACGCCACCTGAGAATATTAGCTACTGACTCGATACCGCTGTGTTGAATGGTATGATAATCAATGAAAAATTACATACCGAGTGAACTTCCACTAGCCGCAATCCCAGTTGCGAAAGCCTTCCGTGTTGAGAAATAAGTAGAAACGATCGCCACACTAGGAACAAAAAGACATCCCAGTCCAATTCCCATACACATAGCTTGTGCAAGTACAATTTGCCAGTAACTCGTGGAGATAGATGTCATCATCATGCCAAAGACAACCATAAATGTCCCAGTACACAGAAGAGGACGAAAGAGACCGGCATCTGAGAAGAAGTTAGTAATTCGTTGTTCTAAGAGAGTTAAAAGGGGAAGAATTACCGAAGAGAGGACCAGTGAAGACCCCCACAAGTAAGAGCAAGAAAGCTTGTATAGAACCAATCCATGAAATATTAGATGGTGATTCATGAGATAGTAAATCATTTTCGTAAAAAGTTTGGAATGCACCAAACATATTTACTATACCCCTGTTATCATTGTCAGCTCTCATTGGGTGTCATTTCCTGGAATGAAAATCATACCATGAATTAAAGAATAAGAAGAAACTCCCAACCACTTGAAGCCATGCAACAACTCCTCCATTTGGAATATCGGCATGCGGATTCGGGGCAACCTGAGGAAGTTCTTCGGCAATAATGTCAGAATCATCACCCGATAATTTTTCTCTCTTTGATTCAATAGACCCCCCAGCCGAAGTATTCTGATCCATATCGGTGGAAATTTGATCCGTCGGGCGATTGACGGGATCGGTTTCAGATTTGGGATTATGGAAAGTATGTATGGTTACCATGGTACCAGTAAGTGGCTTTCGGTGGAGTTCAAAAATTGATGGTATCAATTGAGTATGATCCCATGTATATCAAGCGAGTACATTCTTCTCTCTTATATTCATCCTTTCGCGCTCAGAAGGTCCCGAAGAGATAAACTAGCAACAGATTTACAATCTTGAGAGCGCGGATTGATATAAGTAGACCGCGGATGTTGCGGTAGGATCTCTTATATTTTTATATCCGCCAATTATATGACTCGCTAGTGATAAGATCGCCAAAGATGTGGAGAAAGATCGTGGAAGGTGTCAAGAGTGGATATGAGACATGGGAAGATTTCTTCAATATCTTCTTTTAGCCCGAGCGTTTCTGACGGTATTGGGACTCGGGAAATAAGTATAAGGCCGAGTTTCATGTCGGCAATTCAATGGAAAGGCGAAACTTATGGCGGTGGGTGATATCGATTTGGAAAGTGAAGTCAAAGGTTTCACGGAGATATAGTCGTTAGAGCTGTACTTTGAGGCAATGTCACTAGTTGTGCCATGAGATCGGCGTCAGCAAAGAATATCAGCTCCTTTGGGCAGGATTGGCCTCTAACCTCTTAACCTCTTGAAGGTTGGTCTTGCATCACCCTCATTCCCATCGTCGTCGTCATCATTATCATCCAAAAATCGGAATCATGTCATCTCGACATTGAGAGAACGCATTAGAAGACATCAAAGGCATACGTTGCCTAATATCATCAATACTATCCGGGAGAAGACAAGCCGGTGAACTTTTCAAAATAACATATCAATGAGCTCAGTGTTTTTACGATATCTATCAATAGTAACTTTCTGCACGATTAATTCGACGGCAGTGTTACCAAATGATAGGTCACCCGCATCCCGTATATCCTCAATTTTGCGGTGCACTGTCTCTGATATTGAGTTCGTACCTACCTACCTAGGTAGACTTTTATTGATTTGCGTTACTCATCTCACTCATTCGAAAGTATACCCTCGCCCACCTACGAACCATGCATAAAAGATTGATCTTCACCATCGATCAAGACACATGAATCCAATACCAGAATGGAATTGATATTCATACTGCCCTTCCATAAGTAACCTAAATATATCGCCATCTCACACGAACACATACAAATACTATTATCTCAAGCCGCCAACCGCCAACCTTCTCAACTCTTTGAAATCACTACAGGACTACTTCCTGCCTCAATCAATGCCTCTTCACTCCTCAAAAGTTCAACTAGTGCAGCAGCATAAGGCCTTAACGGATTGCCAGCAGGTTTGGTACCGAGCAATAGGATTATTTGTACCTCACCAAAATGTCTGCGGCTGTTATGGAGAAGACGAGCATTGTCCTCAGAAACAACATCCCCTCGCACGGGACTATAGAATGTGACCGATAAACAAGGTCTGGCTTTGATGATGAGATTTAACTCGCTGGCTAGATAAGAAATTTCGGCACACGATGGCGTGCAAGCAGCGACAATTTCTTGTCGAGGCTTTCCACTGAGAAAACAGAGAGGAAAAAGTACGTCGACTAACTCCTCGCCAATTTTCTGAAAGATGAAGTTATCTGGGAAATAACATAGATATCCGTATCCAGTTCTTATTGGGTCATCGAGAAAGCGTGTGCTGTTATTCCGGATGCTGCGTCACATTCAAACAAATAGAGATTGTCTTATTGAAGAGTCTCTCCACAGGATGGAGTCTCCGTTTCAGACACCCTCGACTGCCTACCAACCATCTGACTTGATTTATTATCAAATTTTTGATGTAAATACCTAACCTTCCTCACGATTTCACCAGATTTATATTAATAGCTCGTCGAATACAGAACTTTGAAAATAGGAAAAGCGACGACCCTCCCATGGTGTATAGAGACAATCCAGCTTTCGAAGATGCTGTCTTAGCTTCTTCTGCAGTCTCATTACATACCACTGATGGATATGAAGATTCAGATGAGGAACCTCCTTCTTATTCGTACACTGATGAACCTCCTTCAACACCATCCGCGGACTCTGTACCAACTCATCCAACTTTAGGAGTATGGTACCTGTATCACTCCCTTTTTGTTCTCTCTTGTGATAACCGCACATCTATATCTAATACCCCTCAGTTCTCCTCTCAACCTTCCATTCTCCACCCATGACCTTGATTGCAGCAAATTCCAAACTCGTTTTCCAAACTTCTCCACAAACGCAACTACTTTATATGATATGATCTGAGAGCAAATCAAGTACCTACCGGGATGATATGTGACTCTGAGCATAACTGGTTGGCACAATGAAACGAGGCATCAAAGAAACAAGGAGACGAAAAGTAAAATTACCGACTTTTTGATTCAGATTAACATCACTCAATTCTCGCTCGGGTATTGGTTTGAACGGGGAAATTGAGTATTTGCCTAACAATATCAAAGGTTGTATAGGTGGCAGGCTCCCAATTTTCGAAGCGACAGTAATCGCAGATGAAGAAACCCAGACGGATGAGCTAAAAGCTTGGTGTGAAGTTTTTGTATCAAATTCCGCTGGTGTGAGATCTTTCATACTCAAACGGGAGGTCATAGATTACGATACTAAGAAGGTATAACGACATCTCCGATCTACTTTTGCCGAAACAAATCATTGGGGGCACGTCGAAATTTATTTCCCTTCACCCATAAGCGCCTTGTAGTCCATTCACCTGGTGTAATAAATGAATGGCGTATTACGACCTGGATTCGATGGCTATTTTACCTAACATTCTTTTGGCTTATCTCATGACTGGTACTGTTTTTCCTCACACATAAAGACGAGGTTGCTACAGTGGTCTTTCCTTACACAAATCGTTTGGTTGGCGATGGAGGTGGTCCAACTTGTACAATTATGAGCGGGGTAGAGTGGCTCAATCTATGGGGAAGTGCTTAAGAAGAGCTGCGATGGATAGAATGATATGTAAAGATCAATGTCTTGATGATGTTTACAGAAGGGAGACAGCGGCCGCTGATACGAGGGGGTTGGTTGCTAGCTCGACACCAGAACCAGATACAAATACTGGTAATACTGTATTGAATCTTTTGAGACAAAGCTTGAGAGTAGCTGAAGGATTCAATGCTAGTAGAGGTTGGGTGGTGGCTGTTAATGATGGAGGTGACGTTGAGGTTTGAAAAAAATGTCGATGTACTATTTCCCTCTAAATATATTTCTTCTAATGTTCAAGTACCAATTACTCCTAGCTCTAGCTTGTTACCCACACATACATTGTAATTCATACTAATCATTTCTTCTTTTTTTTTGTGTGGTTCTTGCCTCTCTATTTCAATTTTGTACTCACCCAGCGACACACTGGATTGCGTTCAAACATCATATGAAGTCATGATCGAGTATTCGTAAGCTTCCCCAGTCATTTCAAAGACTTATCAATGCTCATCTAACAATGACAAATGTGGGGCGCACAGCATTAGTTCAACACTTCAATGTGGAGAACTCGGAACCAGAAGTTGATGGAACCAATCAAAGTTTCCAATTGAAACCGCGGGATGTAAATATCATCGTGAGCGTTCTCTGATATTATCTTCGAACACAACGATGGTCCAAGAATTGTTGATATAAGATCAAACAACAACCCAGACTGCAAAACTCAAAACTTCCTCTTCAAATCATCGCATTATCATATTATTTACTCCAACATGACGACTTCCAGATCTTGGCCTTATACAAATGATGAGGGAAACACTGAGAATGAAGGCGCCACAGTAACGGAAGCAGTCATTGAAACCGACTTATTGATTGTTGGGGCCGGGCCTGCCGGGGCGTCTTTGGCTTGTTTTCTGGGGCATCATGGTGAGTTGATGCAAATTTCTCTGGGGTACCTCGACACGTGACCTTCGTTGAGCCATCGAAAGGACTATCTTTTATGGGTGGATTGCTGTGAAAGAATAACGTGCAGGGAGAAAATGAATAATGATACTGACTTTCGTAGGCCTACGAGGAATGCTTATCGCGGCCACTCCCGGTACAGCAGATACCCCGCGAGCTCACATAACCAACATGGCCGCAATGGAATGTCTGCGCGATATAGGTTTGGAAGAGGAGTGTTTGCAAGTTGCTGTTAAGGGTGATTCAATGTTGCATACACGATGGTGTCGTTCTTTGGCTGGTGAGGAATATGCAAGGATTTACTCATGGGGTAATGATCCAAAACGTGCCGTAGGTCGACGAGCAGGTGGTGATAGCATTCTGATGACTAACAATTCTCACAGGGTGATTATGATGCTGCGAGTCCATGTAAACATGTTGATATTCCTCAGACAGTTCTCGAGCCGATTCTGATCAATCGGGCTTCTCACAGTGGATTTAATTGTCGATTTGATACCTCATTTTTGTCTTTTGAACGAGACTCAAGCTCGGGGGTAATTACCAGCAAACTCCAAGACAATCTAACGAAACAAATATACCATGTTCGATCAAAGTACTTATTCGGATGTGATGGAGCTCGAAGTCAGGTTTTGAGGCAGTTAAAGATCCCATTAATCAAAAAACCTGGACAGGGGCTAGCCATCAATGTATTGGTTAAAGCCGAATTGAGACATGTCATGGAAAATAGAATGGGAAACTTACATTGGGTTGTGAGACCTGAAGATGAAAATGCCACTTTTGGTTGGAATGGCTTGATTAGAATGGTAAAGCCTTGGAATGAGTAAGTCTTTTTTCTTAAGTCATGATAGGGAAATACTAACTTTCCAGGTGGATGTTCATTCTTCTCCCTTCTCCTGATGCCGGAACGAACTTCAATCCTTCAGACGAGGAATATTTAAGATGTGTGAAGGATATAATCGGGGATGATTCAATTCATGCGGAGATACTTGGAGTCTCCAAATGGCTGATTAATGAAACTGTTGCAGAATACTACTCTGATGGGAACATGTATGTATCTGAGCCCCCTTATCATAAGGAATTCCTCGCTTACTTTATAAAGATTTTGCCTCGGCGATGCGGTTCACCGTCATCCACCATTCAATGGCCTAGGATCTAACACATGTATTCAAGATGCATATAATCTCGCCTGGAAGATCGCCTATGTCTTGAAGGGAAAAGCGGAAAGCAGTCTTCTCGATTCATATAGCTTAGAACGCCAACCAGTAGGCCAATCCATCATCACCCGAGCCAATCAAGGACTTCGAGATCATGGTCCAGTATGGGAAGCATTAGGAATGATGGACTCATCTCTCGAAATTCGACGAAAACATTTTGCAGAACTCGCACAAGCTACACCTGAAGGGGCCGCTCGGCGAGCACGCTTTCAAGCTGCGATTGAAGGAACAGCACGCGAGTTTCATGCCGTCGGTACTGAGATGAATCAACGTTACGAATCTTCTGCAGTCTTTCTCGCGGATGAGAAACCAAGACCGGCATTACCGGCAGACCCGGTTCTTGAGCATGAGATTACTACTTATCCTGGAAGTCGTCTTCCTCATGCGTGGCTGAATACCAGACTTCCAGGAAAACAGTTCTCGACTATTGATCTAGCTGGACATGGAAAATTCTGCCTTTTCACTGGGATTGGAGGAGAAAACTGGAGAGCTGCTGCTGCAAAGGCGGCAGAGGCTCTTGGAGTTGAGGTCAATGTATATTCTATCGGTTGGAAACAAGATTATGAGGATGTGTATTTTGATTGGGCGAAACGAAGAGAAATTGGGGAGAGTGGTTGTGTACTGGTTAGACCGGATAGATTTGTAGCTTGGAGAGCTATGGAATTGATTGATGCGCCAGATGAGAAGTTGATGATTGTTTTGAAGAGCATTCTAAGAGTTTAGACAATACTTGTTCATTTTCAAGATACTTGAACATCAAACAATATGATGAGATTTGCATATTTCTTATTTTAGCGGGGCAGGGATTACAGAATGGGAAGCTTTTCCGGTGCCTGATTGTATTTAGCCGTTGCTTATGTCTACTGCATCAAACGGAGAACATCAAAATGCACCTTGTATTTTTTGGAGTCTTAATGATGATCGATTCTATTCAAAGCATGTCCCACATCTCGAGTCTGCAGCGTGTGCTTGTCGAATAGACTTGTTTGGTGCGCTTCTACATCTGATGCGGGGTTGTGATTTCACGACCCCGCAATGGTACAACACAGCATCTGTAAATTTCCCATCGGCCAATAATTTTGACTAGTCGTCATTTTCATCCATTCATGCCCAAATGGAAAAGAAGGAATGATTTCATTGCCAATCCGTGAGGTTGAGTGATTGTGGTTAAAAAGAGCTCAGCTATCGTTGCATGAGCTTTCTTCCTTCAATCTCTCAGAAAGTCTATGTCGACACTCAGGAACAATGCTCTACTCCGAAGGAAACCGTTTGATATATCGCTACGATGCCGAAGAACTCTGGATTGATTCTTGGGGACCAAACGCATTCCGAATCCGTTCCACCAAAGAATCTCAATATCCCAATCCCTCTGAACTCTGGGCCCTCCAAGAAATCGACTCTCCAACACCAACAATTAAAATCGAAGAAAAATCAGCCTCAATCACTAATGGATCCATCCGTGCAACAGTTTCCTCTCGAGGGAAGATAATCATCTACAACGGCGAAGGCAAAATCCTCTTGGAAGAATACGCACGTCATCGTCTCGACGTAACAGACCCCAAATGTTCCGCCATAAATGTCGAAGCCCGGGAATTCAAGCCCAACCCGGGGGGCAGCTCAACGCATCATCTAACCCAACGCTTCGAATCTCAAGACAAGCACGAAAAGATATTCGGCATGGGCCAATACCAACAACCCTATCTCGATCTCAAGGGTCTGGATCTCGAGCTCGCGCACCGCAATTCCCAAGCCAGCGTCCCCTTTGCCATCTCCTCTCTTGGCTACGGACTCCTCTGGAACAATCCCGCAATCGGACGCGCGGTGTTTGGAAAAAATATCATGAGTTTCGAAGCGTACTCTACTTCTTTTCTCGATTATTGGGTTGTAGCCGGAGACTCCCCTGCGGAAATCGTACATCGCTATTCAGACGTCACGGGAAAGGTTCCCATGATGCCCGAATACGGACTGGGGTTCTGGCAATGCAAATTGCGATATCAGACGCAGGAAGAACTCTTGCAAGTAGCGCGCGAATACAAGAAGAGGGAGTTACCGATCGATCTTATCGTGATTGATTTTTTTCACTGGCCGCGTCAGGGCGACTGGAGATTTGATGAGAAATTTTGGCCGGATCCGGATGCGATGATTGGGGAGTTGAAGGAGATGGGGATTGAGCTGATGGTGTCGATTTGGCCGACTGTGGATACGCGGTCGGAGAATTTCGAAGAGATGCTCGAGAAAGGCTATTTGGTAAGGACGGATCGGGGAATTAGGATTGTGATGGATTTTGAGGGTGATACTATTCATTTTGATGCTACGAATCCGGGGGCGAGGAAATTTATCTGGGAACAAGCGAAGAAGAATTATTATGAGAAGGGGATTAAGGTTTTTTGGTTAGATGAAGCGGGTTAGTACTTTTTATTGTCTTGTCTCATCCAGTTCGGCACTATGCGTTTGTAGACTCTACTAGGTAGGTGGATACCGGAAACTGACTTTCCCCCCAGAACCAGAATACACAGCCTACGACTTCGACAACTATCGCTACCATCGAGGCACCAACCTCTCCATCGGTAACACCTACCCGGTTGAATACGCCCGCGCTTTCTACGAAGGCATGTCCGCCTCGGGCCAAACCAACATTGTGAATCTTCTCCGCTGCGCATGGGCCGGGTCCCAAAAATACGGCGCGCTGGTCTGGAGCGGTGATATCGCTTCATCATGGTCGTCATTCCGCAATCAGCTCACTGCTGGATTAAATATGGGACTTGCGGGAATCCCATGGTGGACCACTGATATTGGAGGTTTTCATGGAGGAGATCCAACGGATCCGGCTTTTAGGGAATTGTTTGTGAGGTGGTTTCAATGGGGGACGTTTTGTCCGGTTATGAGGTTGCATGGGGATCGGGAACCTAAACAGCCGCAGGTGGGAGAGGGAGGTGGATCGACTTGTTTGAGTGGTGCAGATAACGAAGTTTGGTCTTATGGGGAAGAGGTTTATGGAATTTGTAAGAAATACATGATGATGCGAGAAGAGATGAGGGACTATACTAGGGAGTTGATGAAAGAGGCTAGTGAAAAGGGGAGCCCGGTTATGAGAACTCTGTTTTATGAGTTTCCGGAGGATAAGAGATGCTGGGAAATCGAGGAACAGTATATGTTTGGGCCAAAGTATTTGGTTTGTCCTGTGTTTGAGGCCGGGGCAAAAAACATCAAGGTTTATCTTCCAGCAGGGACATCTTGGTCGCTGATTGGTAAGGAGAAAGATGAATCTTGGGAAGGAGGGCATGAGATTGAAGTCGCTTGTTCCATTGACACTATACCTGTATTCACTAGACAAGATTAGAATGAGGGTAATGTCAAATTATAATTCTCAAGAGGTTTCGAGAATGGGCCGAGCTTCCTTTTTTCCATGACCCGAATCGTTGATCAATACTGATTACTAACATGAATTTTGTCGTTCTACACAAAAGGTAGAAATATCATATGAATACAGGCTTCAAATCCCGGTTTATAAGCTTGCCTTCCCCTGACTTTCATATGGCAATATCAACACCAACAGTCCTGCTGCAATGAAAAGAGCCCCGCTTGTGTAAACTGGCGCTGAAGTCTCGAGATTGGCGAACATTGCAATAATCGGCTTCAGAAAGATTAGCCAATATCCATGGGGAATTTTCATCCTTCATGTAATCTGAATCGATGAATGAGGGAAAACTTACAGCCATAATGCCGAATATTCTGTTCGAAGTCGCGGTAAGAGCATTGCCCGTACCGCGATCTTTCGTAGGAAAGATTTCCGGTGTATATGCGTACAAAACAGCATACATCACATTGGAACAAAAGTTAAAAGCACAATTCCAACCCAATAATGCAGTAGATGTCATAGCCGTGGTGGAAGCGTACAAGAATACTCCAGTGGCTGTCGTACTAAGAGCGAGAGTTCCTTTTCTACCCAAACTTGGTACCTCAATAAGGTAACCACCAATAAGAGCGCCAGGAATCCCAAGCACAGATATAATCAGAGAGTTGCGATACGTCAAATATGTACTTCCATCTCCAAATTCAGCACCTCGAGTGGCTTGGATATACGGAAGAAATGCGTTATAGAGTGGATATCCAAGACCAATGAATGCCCACACGAGCATAATCAAACCTGTAGAGAAGGCCAGCTTCCTTGTCGCAAATAAGGCACGAACATGAGATAAGTCCATTTGATGGAGTTTTCTTGACAAGGTTGCCGAGGCGTTGATGTGAGGAAGGGTACCGCAATCCTGGAGACGGGTGACAGTCACTATATAAGTTTAGCATGGTTCAGAACAGGAAGAAACGAATGGAGTATACCCACAATTCGACTGTTTCCCATTTCTCCTCGCAACTTCCTGCACAACCTTAACTGCATCTTCATCTCTTCCTTTTCCCATCAGATATTTCGGACTTTCGAATATCGTAAAACACGTGAAACGAATGAAGAACTCAATCATAGAAATGCCTCCCATAACGATAAGAAAATATCTCCATCCCATATTTTGTGATCGAGTGCATGTTGAACCTTCTTGGCATGTGAGATTTCCCAAGAGAGGCCAAGCAATTAAATTCGCGATAACTTGAGCTACGGCCCAGTCGACTGAAAGAACAGTAAGAAGATATTGATGAGAACCAGGAAGAAACTCGAGGAAAACTGCTGAATCGACGGGAAGATTCCCGCCTACACCGAAACTCCAAAGAGCAGCAAAACATCCGATAGCTGCAAAATTTGGTGAACCGGCAGCAATCAATCCAAAAACGGCGGTGATACCAAGCGTGGCATTAAAAGCTAAACGTCGACCAAAAATATCGCAGCCAAAACCCCAAAACATAGCACCAGCCAGAAGACCAATATTCTGAGCTAGAGTGAGTAGAGGTGGGTGCTTGGGCGAGAATTCATTGGTAATCGACGTGACTATGTTCATTGTTAGCTTTCTGGCTGGATAAAAAGACCACCCGAGGTTGAATAGGTACATATAAGTGATGTAACAATTGGCCACAAGTTATCATTCGCCCAGCCAAATCCTACCACAACAAATAGTTGCCATTGATACCATCCCATGCCAATATCTTGAATCTGAGTAACATCACATGATTAGCGTCTATTACGTTTGAGCAGAGCCACTTGAAAGTGGTAAGACATCCAATCTTACAGCTTCATTTAAGACTCGAGCTTTTGCTTCATATATTGGATCGATTGTTCCAGGTGGTATCGCAGTCAAGTTTAGACTCTCAACTTCTGATCGTTGTATGTAATCATTGTTGACGTTTCCGTCTTTGACATCAGGTTCACCATCGTTTTCATTTGAGGAAGTAGGGTCGTTATTAAGAGTTTCGTTCGCCATTTCAGCTTCTTCGCTGGTCGGTAATCTCTGGTACCTCATCAGGATTGCTGAAACCTGAGAAGCAGGCCTCACTAAGTACTTATGAATCGTTCTTGCTATCGGAAATCCTAGGCTAAATTAGTGCACGCCTGACGTCTGTTGTGTAAAGCTTCACTCATGCTGTGGAACAGTGAATTTAGTTCTTAGGATGCTATTGGATATTCCAAGCCAAGTGTCCCGTCTCGATTTCTGTTTGGAAGGGATATGGTTAAAATGTGGCAGGTGAAATTCAATGCTCTGATATCAAAAGTGTGAAGGTTTGCGGTTGGGTGGCCAATATCAGGCAATCAATCTCAGGTAAGGTTAAGGTTAGTGTATAAGCCTCCGAAACGGCGAAAAGACAGGCCGATCTCAACAAGTAGTTCGAATTGGACGTTGCATTAGGGTTTAGCTTGACCCATCACAGTAAGAGCTCATGAGGCCGCAAAGCAGCAACGGGGTGGTAGCGTACAAGGTGAAGAGTCAGAATCGAATTGCAACGCGGAGTAATCACACCATGCAAGCCCCGGATTCCATCGAACACTTTCCCACTTCGGATTTCTTTGAATATAACAACTTAAAGATAAGACGATTGATGTATTTGGCTTCATACATCAACCTAAACCTCTGATTGGATATTAATAACCGGCTAGTCGTCCTCCGTGTACCAGATCTTCAACAACTAACCACACACCGTGGGCACAATGTAGTAACCTTAAGAGAAACCGAGTCCACACGACTGGCTATTCTCACACCCCAAAAAATATATGATCACACCTACAAACGGTTAAATGGATTGACAAACCGGCGCCAAGTAACAAACAGTTTGTTTGCACTTGATGCTGGCTCGAGTTATATACATGAGCACATTTGTAATATTTGGCGATTCTCAATTCTTCACTTCCTTTTAGTCCTCGTCGGATTATATCAGTAAATCTCAGTCAAACATTGCTGAAGCCCCCAGTTTTCCACCTCTTTAAGCCACACTAGTAACAGTCCCTTCTGCTCGCTCGTGATGATATTGATGTGCATAGTAAAATGGGGAGTTATATGATGGGTAGACGAGCAATCACCTTCAGCCACAACTCCTTGTAGCATTTTAAACATCTACTAGAAGCTTGGGAGGTAGAATTTTTGTCGTGAAAATGTAACCCGGTAAATTGAATCTTTGCCTGACGACTTGCATCTTCCTACCCTCAGTATGAAGGAGCTCTAGACCTTTTGCTTAGAATCATTTCAATATGCTGAAGAGCGATCTGCTTGTACATACGTTTTCCGTGAGCTCGCACGTGGGATGTCAAAAGAATCAACAATCATCTGCCTGTTGGCGTTCAGATACCCTAGTGCATTCTACTCCAATTTTTAAACTTTACATGAAGATAATATCTAAATTTTGATACCATCAAAAATCCTCAAAGACGCTTCATGGAATGCTATCGCTGTCCAAGTGAAGTTCAATAGGAAAGAAACAGCGAGATGCTTCAATGCTTACGCCCGTATCGTCCGCATCCCTGGACGCTTGGCGCTTACGGCCGAATGATATCTGCTGTCCGTCCATGAATCCGTTAAACACCAATTCATCTCGACCATCTATTGTCTTTTAGAATCTCCTAACCTATGTTGAGGCTGAAGCGGTTGGAATATCTCTCCGGCCATTAGACTGGCGTGCGGATTTAGTCTCACCTGCGGATTCAATCTCGTCGACCTTTTCTGCTTCAAATCACCAGACAATCAGATGTTATATAACATGGCCACTTTAGATGCATGATAAAAGATGTCAATGAATACTTCAATCATCTTCAACTCAACTTGCCTCGAAAACCATGGATGACAATGCTCCCAAATTGGAGTCTTCAGCCTCCGATGAACCCACTTCCGAATCTAAACCCAGCGCACGAGGAAATGGCCCTAACATCCCCAAATGGAGGCTCGTCTGTCTATGTATCAGGTAACTTCTCCATCTCTCTTGGATCTTTGGAATTGTATTAACATTGTAAAGTCTATGTTTCGGTCTTTTTCTTGCGCTGCTCGATACCAGTATCGTAGCAACAGCTCTTTACACCATCGGTGTGGAATTCAATTCTCTTAACTCTGTTTCATGGATAGCTCTCGCATACACCCTATCCTATCTAGGCTGTGCTGTTTTATTTGCACGAGTTGGTGATATTGCTGGTCGAAAAAATGCATATATTGCAGCGTTTATCATATTCTTCGCCTTCTCAATTGCGTGCGGATTTGCGAAAACACTCAACCAACTTATTGCATTTAGAGCTTTGCAAGGCATCGGCGGTTCGGGTCTTTACTCTCTGACTATGGTTATCTTTCCTGAGATTAGTCCCCCGGGAATGAGGAGATGGATTGGAAGTTTGGCTGGCGCAGTGGTTGCAATGAGCGGAGTACTTGGTCCGGTTATCGGAGGTATCATTACCCGGTACACAAGTTGGCGATGGATATTTTGGATAAAGTGAATGAACCGACCTATGAGAAAGAGCCAAAGCTAATAAATGCATAGTGCACCAATCGGCATCGTGCCTTTAATATTGTTCTATTTCGTCTGGCCAAACGAAAATCAACTCCATCAATCCAAACGTAGACCCCTTCGGCAACTTGATCTTGTCGGGGCATGCATTTTGATCATCGCTTCTATCCTTTTCGTCTTCGCATTCCAAGAAGCAGGCCTCAAAACAAACTCTTGGAATAAACCACTATTCCTGATACCCCTAACAGTAGGAATAGTCTTCTGGATCTTACTATTCGCTTGGGAGTTCACGGTGCATAAAAAATGGGAAGAAAACCTCGCAACGATGTTCCCATGGAGACTCATCATGAACAGAGTCTATATGTTTGGTCTAGCCACAACTTTACTCATGGGATTTCCATACTTCGTGGTAATCTATAGTCTGCCGCTACGATTCCAGGTCGTGAATGGGAAGAGTCCGTTGTCCGCAGGACTGGGATTACTACCTATGTTAGGATCAACAGCGATAGCGAGTTTTCTTGGTGGAATGCTTAACGGAACGAAAAATAGGGTATTTTTGACTCTTCTCGCGGGGTCTGGACTGAGTGTTATAGGCACTAGTTCGCTGTCTACATTATCGAATACCGAATATGTGGAGGCTAAGACCTATGGCTTTTTAGTATTTGTTGGGTTAGGGTTTGGATTGACAGTATCTACAGTATCGATGCTAGTAAGTACCCCTTCTGAACTATTTCTCACCATACTGTCTTTAGCTAACAAAATGACATCAGTCAAACTACGAATCATCCATCCGCGACCACGCCGTAGCACAAGGCATCACATCCCAAGCACGTATTCTAGGCGGTAGCATAGGAATAGCAGCCAGTACCGCTATTCTCAGTCTAGCACAACAAATACAATTAAGTGGCATCGTAACTCCGGAACAACTTGCTTCGTTAGAGTCTTCAGCAAAGTCAATGACATATGCGCAACTTCATGCAGTGAGACAAGCATACTCTGATTCTTTCAACGAGGATATGAAAGTATGCGCGATAGTTGCGGGTGTATGTGTCTTGGTAACGATAGGGACGTGGAAGAAGAACCCGGTGACGATTGAGCAGAGATTTAGAGAGCAGATCACAGAGGAAGTACAGAGGTTGAAGGGTCAAGTCACTCAAGTGAGGGTATCAGAAGAGCCGAAGTCCTGATTGTTGGAAATTATAGAGATAAACTCAATGTATCTACATCACTTATTTCCCGAGTTAATTCATCTGTAATTTTGTATTGCTAGTCTTCTTCATCCATCCAACCAGCTGAAATATCAGTGGGTATCACTGTTGTCACAAAGTGAGAGGCACCATTTTTACGAATCTCTTGCTGACTGCCTAACTGGCACAACAAATTAAATAAGCGAAGGGAAATGATCTCATCATGCGTAGGAACAATGAGAAGTTGGAATGAAAGAGGAAAGTGTACTGAGTACTTCATTCAACACACCAACTTTGGTGATTTTGAGAAACGAACAGAATATTTGTGGAGTTGGATCTTTGTAACACATCCTCCATGAAAGGATATGATCGTGTAAAGGAAAAAACAATATGCTTTGAGGGGCTTTCAAGGTCATTATCAGATCGGAGTCTATGGAGTAGACCAATATAGACTTCGAGGTGTCGAAGTTCCAAAGTTCCAGATCAAAAGAATACCTGGTGATAGAGGTCAGATATTCACCATCTCTTACCCCTCCTAAACTTAAAATGAAAGGATCTTTTTTTGAAAGTGAATTCACTCCATCATGCCCAAATGAAAAGGTCAATAGCATGGAAAGTGATGTGGATAGCTTGAGGCCTTAAAGCTGAAGCCCAAGACTTGACCTTCTTATTCCTCAAGGCGTACAATAGAAATGTATCTCCAAAGATAATAACAGCAGCAATCATATAGTAAGTACTCTCTGCTGCAGTCTTTGGTTATGATACTTTGTACCGAGTCGAACTGACAACTAGAAACAGTCTTTATTCCTCATGGCTTACACATTCGTCTTGCCTTGCAGATCGGTCTCACATGGCCTTACCGAACTCTATTCCGATGATGAGCAAGTCGATGTTATGGTTCACGAAAGCGAGTACGATGCAGTTGTAGAAACGACCGATGTCGAGGAGGAAGTTCAGCAATGCGACGTCAATAAACCAATCACTGCAACCACCCAAGAAGCAAATCCCCTAATCATCGCCTGGAAAACCCTCAGCGCTACAAAATCGGGTATCCCAGGGGTTGAGATTGCTCAGGTTGATATCTTAGCTCAAGCCGATATTCTTCAAGACGGAAATTGGCACGCTATTCATAATTCGCAGATCGAACCTGTCCAGACCGATCTTCCTCGATTCGGTGGCTGGACACCCATTAACAATCCACCGGACAACTCTTCGCCGATCAGGCTCACGCAAATAGCAACTTCGAAAACCGAAGATACTCGATCTAGCGCCGTTCATCTTAGTGATTGGTCGGTCACAAGTGGCTCACAGACCGATACTTCGCAGGCCACTAGTGTCGAGCCCGAGAAGCCATCCAGCTACCCCCAGATCTGGAACCTATCGCATTTGCGCTCGAGCAACACAACGATTCCTGCCATGATGAACATGGTCAATACATCTCAGCTCAAGCTCCGATTCAGAAGATACAAGAAAGAATACACCTCCACGACTGCTCAAAAGCAAATCAAATGGTTCAGATACCGCATTGCATGCTTGAATATGGAGAAGAAGAGCGATGTCAATACTGAAATGGCAGATATAAAGTTACAATGGGGCAGACTCTGGAGAGACGTAGATGGTTGAAGCAGGAAATGATGAAGATCAAGAATATCCATGCAATGGCAAGACGTAGACGTCAAGAACGCTTGAAGTATGACTTGAGGGCGAGTTATGATATTGCATTTATCAAGTCACTAAAGGGGAATTGAATGACGTCTAGAAAATGAAAGGACATTATTTTCGGAAAGTAGGAGACTTGAGGTACTTACATCCAGCAAATATCTTTTTTGGTGTATCAAAGGTCTTTTACCAGCAGTGTATGGTGGAATATGAGAAATTATCGACAATTATTAGCATAGGGGATATTCCAAGATAAACATGGGTAACAAATATAACATACCAAACTCTACTTTTCACTCACATGGTGATCAAAGGCCTTTCATCTGGGCAATGAATCTGGTAGTCGAGATTTGCAAGATGATCATGGGCTAGAAAACATGGAACTTCGTGAGCAATAACGAGATAAATATGATGCGGTTGGAAGGAAGCTATCAAAACCACAATTACTGGAGGAAAGTAGGGTAGGATACGCTTGCAATTCCGCCCAGTAAACCAAAAATGGCAGTTACGTCGTCGCGTAACTCTTTTATTTACACCAGGCAATTCCTTTCCATCAATCACAACATACAACCAACAATCTTCTTAACAGCCTTCCCATTCACCAGCAATATCTGCAAAAATGGCGATTCTACCTGGGGTTCCATTTATCAGAGTTACAGTTAACGCTCCTAAGATTTCAGCAGAATATCCCGATCTTGACGACAATGAGGATGAGAATACGCAAAACGGCCCTCAACACAAGATGTCCGTTTATATCGAGTCCAAGACAGGTACGAAGTTTGGATTGCAATACCTCGTTGATCCTGCGAAGATTTCAAAGCTTAAAAAGAAGAAGAATTACTGCCTAGGATTTTTTGCTGTAGTTGATGGAAAAAAGACGAGGTAATTAGATGAAATCAGATCTTGTTAAGCATCGTTCCTAAGCTGAGCATTTCAACAGCTCAACTGTAATTTGCAATGAGAACGGATTCAAACCAAATAACTGGGTGCATACTTTGACAGGAGATCGTCTTAGACAACCCGGCAACACAAAATTGAGACCATTCCAGTTTTCTGAGATTCAAATAGGTAGGCCAATCTTCGATCCAATCGCACACATAGCTGATGTTGATTCTGTAGGAGACGATGCTCCTTTTTCACACAACCCCAAAGAAGTCTCCCAGCTCGGAGAACTCATAGTCCAGGTCTGGCGTGTCCGTAAAGTCGTTCCAGTAGCAACGCCGATCTCCACACCTGAACAGGAGACAATGCCAATGAATACAAAGTTTCACGAAAAACAGTTGAAGGGCAGAGCTGTGACTCATGCAACAGAGTATATGAGAAAATACGGTCTACAATTCAATGCGGAAGCTGACTTATTTTAACAGGCTCGGAAAACCACAAAAGATATCGGACCAGGAGACATTCTATCAGCTTGAATATCTTGATCCAGTTAGCAAGCCACTGGCCGAGTTCCATTTCAAATATAGATCAAGGGAGGTTTTGCAGCAGATGATGGTAAGTGCCTTGTTAGTCCTCTTCTCTTTGACAATCAACCTCCGATTATCAAGGGATTTTGGAATGCTTGGTTAGATAAGAAAGACTGACCATAGAATTAAGATACTTCCTCAAGACCAGGAATTGACACTAAAAGTTAATCGAGCTCCTTTGCCTTCGAAGCCTTTACCCGGGGTGCCAGTACAACCTGCCCTGATTGAAAGCACAACCAAAAGGCCTCGTGTTCTTAACAAGGATGCTGTTAAAGGAATCCAAGCATCGATTGCTCAAAAGCATAAGGCTATTTCCGAAATGGCCACACCGCCCCCACCAGCCACAAAGTCAGTGATCACAGGAAGATCTTTCGATCCGGTAACTGGTGCCTTCTTGTCAATGCCAGTACTACCCTCGCTATCAGTTATTACTGGCAGATCGCTCGACCAGGCAACGAGCAGTTTGTCCACCAGTGCCTTTTCCTCATTAGCAACACCAAAACAGAAATTTGGTCAAATGGTTCCCAGAATTACAACTGGCTCTGCGTTTGCGTCATCCCCAAAAGTGCTTCCAGTAACGCCAACTGTTTCCAGAGAAGAGATCAGACATCCGTCAGTTCCTGCTTTTGGATCAATTTCACAGGTAGCAGCACCTAGTTTTGTTTTGAAAGCTAGACCTGCAATGCCAGTAGAGACACCAACAGAAGCAATGTTTAAACCGAATGCTGTGGCCCTCGCATCAGGTGAATCAGTAGACAGCCAAAACAACAATCAAAAACCTTCAGCACTTCCAGTCACACCTGCTACACCTAAGCCCATCGGCCAAGTAGCTTTGGAGCCTGGTGCCACCCCATTTACACGAGTACTGATGGAAATCCAAAGAAGCTTGGGTCAATTAAGAGATATAGCAAAGGGTTTCAACGTTGTGAACGTAGTCGAGGTATGTGCCATCATTCAAAGATTTAATCCAGATTGGACCATCAGATACTTCTCACGTAGTATCAATGACACTGACTTTCTATGCAGGTCCAAGAAGAGATCTCACGAGTTGTTGATAAAGTGCAGGCAGAGGTCGAAGGACAGGCCAGATCTGAGGTGAATCTGAAGCGCGAACATGTAGATGAAAGCAATGAAGATGAACTCGAAGTAATCCTTGAGCGTCCTGTTAAAAGACGACACATCTTTACAGCCGAAGATGAAATCATCGATCTGACTGCCGATTGATCAAGCGGGTGGAAGCGAGAGAAGAAGCAGTACTATTTAGTTGAAACTGCTACACATGAATGAACGTGGGAAAAAGGATTCCGGCGAAAGAAAATTCTGCGAAGTAGTAATGGGAAGGATTTGATCGATTATTGGGCAGGAGCGATATTGGCGCTTTTATAACTTTGAGTGGCATATTTATCTTCACGACCACATATGTATACGAGTTGTATTGATGCATATGGGGAACATGCCGAGAGTTCTTATTATAATTCATAATGAAAGCTGTACTATAAGACGGAACAGAATCGTAGAAGGAAAGGCTTAAGGGTATAGCAATATGACATCATAGTAATACCTTACTTGCGACGCTCAGAAGCCAAGCAGCATCATGCCACCCATCGGCTTCATTTGGATTGAGTGGTGGCATTTGCTCGGTAACTGGTGTGTCACTCATTCCATCGAGGGTGTGTCGCGACGGTCGTGATGACAATGATGACTCTTCTCCTTTCTCATCTGACGTATCGAATTCGGCTTCTTCTCCATCTTCTTCAACAGCAAACAAACTCCAACCTAGTAAGTTTTCTACCCAGCCTCCAAGTCCCAGTCTACTCGCTCTAGCCAATTTCTTAACCGTTGCTTCGTCTTTCCTTGCCTCGTCCCCATCCTCGAGCCATTCTTCTTCCACGTCTACAAAGTCTGGCTCTGCGGGATATTCTTCATGTGCGAATTCTGTATCGAAGTATCCTCCACCTTTGTCTGCTGTCATTGGTGTAATCAGCGCCGCTCTACTCCCTCTTCTGCTATTCGCTCGACTTCCTATTCTACTATTTGCTCGACTGCCATGTCTACTTGCTGGTCTATTGTGTGCAGGCCCAAAACTCAAACTCCGTCTCGTTGTGAGTGGTGAGAACTCATCATCCGCATCGAAACTTCCTCGTCTACTTCCTTTCCTGCTATTATGTTCTCTTTCTCTGGCGAGCTCCCGCTCAAATGCATCTTCATCCTCATCCTTTTGTAAACTTGTTGAACTTGCGCGTGAGACGAGCCATAATTGGCCCTTGGACTCTCGAGTGGAGGATGATATCATGGCGCCGGCTCGCAGAAGCCAATCTGAATCATTGGGGTCATCTTCACCGAATGTACTGATTCTTAGATTATCTGGAGCGATCGTGTTTCTTAAGTGTGAGTGACGTGAGGGTGTAGTCGTGCCGGAGCGGTGACCGGGTGCACGAGGGGTGAGAGGGGTAGGAGCGAGGTGAATGCTTGATTTTGATTTGGGGATTGAGAGATTCATTGGGGCGGGTTTGCGGACAGAAACGCGGGACGAGGAGCGAGAGAGAATGGAAGGTGTTGTAGGAGAAGAGCGATTGTCAATATAGGATGTATGGTCGGGAAAATAATCGTCATTTGAGGGAGGAAGTTTGGTAGTTAGGGGTGCCATGGTTAAATTTGTGAGATTGGATGAAGATCGGTTGTGACGTCGGTTATGAGGAGAGTGTTGGTTGAATGCGATATCCATTATGGTCTATCTGAGGGGGTCAAGAAATCTATCAGACAGAATTAGAATATAAAATCTACAATGCACAAGTATCTCAATGATGCAATAGTAGCCGTAGAAGAAGAATCGAATGTCTATTGAATCAAATGGGCAGAGAAGTGGAATGTTGATAGATATAAGAAGAGAAGTCTCACCACCAATCCTCTGATTAAACCTGGGGTTACAGGGAAAGTCACACACTAAAGATTTAGCGTTTCTCGCTTACACGGTATGAGGAATGCACCAAAGAAAAAAAACTGGCTTGTGAAAATGACCGGGATACGATTTTCCGACGAATCATTGCCTGAACAAAAAGGATGACTTGAGATTTATTTGCATAAATTTTTATTTTTCACATGTTTTGAAATATTAATCTCGAGAAGATGAGAAATTTAAGAGGGATTCAATATGAGCAATGGAAGCCTCCTGCGCAATATCAGAATAGGCCTATAACGGCGGCGGCGTGGGATTTGGCAAACGATGCTGTCGTTTGTACCGTTGGTCCTACCGAAAATGACGCAGTAATACAACTTATTAGAGTCAAGACAACCTCAAAATCACAGTATATATAATTTTCTGATTGAGCGGCTTTGAAGTTTGCTGATTTGAAATTGTAGTGAGGATACTCTCATCACATCATGGGAAGCGCCATCACCAAACCCGGATTTGGCCTGTGACAAAGTTTTAAGTCTTCATTATTTTGGAGATAGCTTGACAACATGTCTTGTTCTTGCAGGTGGCGACATCATTGT